TAAATTTTGGACTCTTTTCTTGTAAGAGGAAACCCATCACTAAGGTCATCTCTATCACACTTACTCTATTCATGAGTATGACAGGTTTTCTCCATCTATATATTCTGACTCCTAACTAGCCTAATTATATCATGTAGATAAGCCATTGGCTTAAGTACTTTTTGCATATCATAGCACTTAGTAGTAAATTAGGCATACAATATAATAGAGTGGCTCTTAACAAATATTTTACTGATTATATGTTTTCATCACCATACACATATTTGAAATGTATGTAAGCAGTTTTTCTACTAGCACATAATTTTGGGTTACCTTAGTCTTTTCATCATCTAAGATAAAGCTTTTTGTTAGCCTACTGATATTTGCCAAATCTTTAAATTTGGTTTGCAAATTGCGGTTGTCCAAACTTCAATTTGGACAAGACCAAAGAAGTTAGTTAGCTATATTTATACTAAAAGTATGTTAGTATTGTTAGGCTAAATTCTCTGTGGAGTCAGGCAAAAATAGACACATTATATTCCAGAAACAATCTGGGGACACTATGGATTATGTAATATTTTGGCAAGAAATCTAGAATTTTACAGAATTATAAGCAAATGTGTTAGTTGGGGTTTCAACACTGTTCTAGTAACATCTATAAATGGTATAAAAAGCTTGAAGAGTAGGGCTGCTGAAGTGTTAAACTTGAGGCACTTTTCTCCTTAGAGCACTTAGCAAATTACTCTTCCTGTATCCCTTTTCTTCACTCCTAGTTCACGTGAAAAAGCCAATGACTTCCCCAAGCAAGAATATAATGATGAGAAGCGGCAGCTAAACGGAGTTGGGCTCAGGGATTCTAGAGTGGATTTGGTATCTAATGTTGAACTATCTCTAACCATCTGGAGATTAGCATACACATCAAGTCCTTTCCTTATCATTGTCTGAATTATCTGAGAATCATTAAATAATTCTTATGTATTAGTAAACTCTTGAAATGTCTGAACTCTTTCACAGAGCTCCTGTTATAAAGAAAGTGGTTCGTCAGAAAGAAGGTAACTTCTTTGGGCTTGATACCCTTATGGCAGTCCTTTCTCTTAACATTCCCCAAACTTATCTTTGAATTGCACATCATGCAAAAGGAACTTTATTTCCAATGGTTAGATCTTCAACGTGGCTTATAAAAGTTTAATTAACCTATAATGTCTTGGAAGGTGTATTATTTTTGACTACATTTCATCACTTATAGCTTTTTTTTCTGGGGGGGGGCGATAAAATATATTTATAGCATCAGGTCAGTATATAAAACACAAACATTTCTCCTTGACATCTCCTCTTGTTCATAATAAAAAGTATGAATTATATCAGTAGTAGGGGAAAGGAGGAAGGCAGTGTTGGTGTTTGCAGGCATCAATAACTTATTGATAGACTATAACTGCTATTCAATATAGTCATCACGAGCCAAATGTGGCCATTAAGTAATTAAAATTTTAAAATTCAGTTTTTCGGTCATCTCAGCCACATTTTAAGTACTCATAGCCACATTTGGCTACTAGTGTATTGAGCAGCACAGACCCAGAATACTTCCATCATCATGGAAAGTGCTGTTTTATAAGACAACTTTAGTCAGACATTTTCAGTTGGGGGACGAGAGAAAACTGTTCCTATTAGGACTGTGGCTCCCCAATGTCAAATTTGTGAGTCCCTTATAAATTAAGTATTAGTCTTAGATTCTTGTATATGCTATTGATTCTGCCATCATAGAGATTTTGGTCTGTCTGGAGAAACAGATATATGCAAACAAAAAGTTTATTAACAAAAAAAGTAGTATATGATAAATGGTAAGTGAGAAATTCTTAGGGAAACAATGGATTTAAGAGACACAGAGGGCCAAGTACTGTTGATATACTGACTATAAAGAGACAAAAGAGAAAGTGGTTGAAAATAACTCTGAGGTTTGTGCAACACGATGAAACATAAAAGGGAGGGGGAAATGAGCTCAGTTTCTGCCCCATTCAAAGAAGAACAGGGAGAACCAATACAGTCCTGCAAAAAGCAAATGACCTATATTAAACGATATAGAATATTTTGACTAATAACTGATAGGTCTAGATCAGTGTTGCTATTATTTTTCTCTATAACAAGATCACTGGTGACATTTGAGTTTGTTTTGAAAGGTGAATGAAGTAAAAATATGAAGAAAATGAAATGATGCCCAGATAAATCGAAGAATGATGCTTGCCTCATTAACTCTTGGATTGAGTAATCTCTATCTGTTCTGATGACTTTTTTTCAGATCAAAAGATATAAATGTGGCTTTGTCTTCAGATTGTACAATACAAAAAGACTATTGGGATTATGTATGTGACATTGGACAGCAATGTGGATGTTAAAATTTTAAAATAAGAGACAGCTTTTCTCATTGACAATGAAGTCAAGTAAAAGAATCTCTCCCTTTGGTTTTCAAATGTGCAGGATTATATATCCACTTTTCTGGTAGTCAGCTGAATCCTGGAAATGCCAATCAGGGTTAAGATTTGTTGGTTGTGAGAGTGTGCAACAAAACAGGGACCATGTATGCAAAAGTCAGAAACTAGTACCTTTGAGGTTTATTCAAGATCATTTAAAGATTCTCTTTCACAGTTACAAAAACCTAGGAAAGTGCTATGTGTGCCTCATGTTCTTGTACTGCATGATTGAGGTCCTAATGGGTGTGGTAGTAATCCTTAAAATTCTTCCCAGGACTCAATCCTTAAGAAACTAGGACTATAACTTATGTCTAGGGCAAAAATTTGTTTTAGGAAGTACTATTTAAGAATTTGTACACAAATAAAACCAAGCCTATATAAGGTGTGTGTGTGTGTGTGTGTTTTGTGCTGGGGATCAAAGTCAGGGCCTAGTGCATACTAGGCAAGTGAGTTACATCTCTAACGTCCCATATAAGTAAATTTTAATATGCAATGTTAATGCCCCAAAACTCTACTGGTGGAATCAGAATAATAGCATTAAGTATATGATATCTGGAAATAATATAGTTATTCAGAGAGGCCTCTTAAATCTCATTGAGGCTTTATCTCTAAAATAAGGACAATGAAACCTGTGCCATGATGTTGCTGCAAAATTGAGAAAACAGGCCTTGAGCCTTTCTGTCTTGTTCCGCCCACTTTGCTTTACCTAATGGGAGTGCTACTTTCCCTTTTAAACAATCTGTACTTTATTAAAAAAAAAAAAAGATCGAGAAAATAGATGTATAAAAATGGTTAGATTATAGCTATATATATAATACACATATATGTATATACATATATATTTTTTTTCAGTGTAGTTGGACACAATACTTTTATTTTATTTATTTATTTTTATGTAGTGCTGAGGATCGAACCCAGGGCCTTGCATGTGCTAGGCAAGTGCTCTACCACTGAGCCACAACCTCATTCCCAGATTATAGTTATTTTTATATTTAACAAATTCATAATAATTTCCTATGTTTCCACAGTTGCACTAAACTGTTTTAATGGCCATGATAAATTTAACATAGCAACATGATTTATTTAAAATTAAAAAAAAATTTTATGTTATAGATGGATACATACCTTTATTTATTTATTTTTTCTTATGTGGTGCTGAGAATGAAACCCAGTGCCTCACATGTGCTGGAAAGTGCTCTACTGAGCCACAACCCCAGCCCCTAATTTATTTTTAACCACTACTTTATTGTTGGTCATTTGGATTGTATTCAATGTGGCTTGGCACCTCTTTATGTATGATTCTGAGGACATAAAAGCTGTAGAGGCCAAATACTACATATCTTAGGATCTGTGGGACCACATAAGATATCTATTGCATATTCTTTCTTTTTCTTCTTCTTATTTACCCCTCCCCCCAATATAAAATCCATTGCTTGACTGCTATATAAAAACAGGTCACAGGCTGGATTTGGCTGCCAACAGTAATTTGCCTAGTCCTTAATCTATGGGTTTTAACCAGTTTGGGCCTCTTTTGGAAGTCACTGTGAAAACAATTTCAGTCTTGGAAGCTGGCAAGATCCTGTCAATATCTAGTCCTAGGTATGAGGTGTTCTTCAGATTCCTCTGCTAATATTTTTCTTTTCTCCAGGAAGGTATAACTGGAAGGTGGTGACACCACAGAGAACGACTGGCCAGTAAAAGTAGGAGTTTTAAAGCTAATTCTTAAGCTGCTGGCTGAAAGCGATTGTGAAGCACTTTCCGATGAGATCCCCCCAATTTTACAAAGTGCCATCTTCTAGAAAGGAGGTCAATTTGTAAATAATCGAAAAGTCTCAAGAATAGCTCTTGAGTAATTCTATCTGTAGTAATGAAAAACTTAGCTGTCATGGGTTAGGAAGGACACAGAATCCATTAATGAATGGAAAGAAAACAGGCTGCAACTCAGTTTTAGCATTTACTAGCTGTATACTCTCGGATAAGGTAGAAATGTCTCACCCTCCAGTTTTTTTTTTTTTGTTGTTTGTTTGTTTGTAAATCGGAGATTACTTACTTGAGATCTAGCATTAAGCACAGTGGAAGGAACGAAGTAGGCGATGAGAAATGAGAAAATGATAGAACTATCTGCTGTAATGGATAGAAACTAGGAGGATCAGTTCTGAGTGACCCTACAAGGGGCAAAGCAGAGGTAGAACACTAGGATCTCTTCCAAGAAAAGACGCTGCTGGTACCGTGGTCAGGTCCAATGGCATTGCCTACTTTTCCTGCTCCTGGGAGTCTGCCCCCGAGAGGGCCTCAGGAAGCCCAGGCCACTCCCCAGGACATCTCCGGGGCTCTGAGACACAGCGGGGACGCTTGCGACTCGGCTCTTGGACCTGCCAAAACCCGGCAGGGCCAATCAAGTTAGCTCAAACTCACCTGCTTGGCAGGTGCGCGCGGCAGAGGCGTGACAGGGGAGCGAGGGCGGGCGCGGTGGGCGGGGGCAGAAAATGTAGAGCTCCAGGCGCATGGCACCCGCCGCCCAGGCACCGCGGTGGCTGCCGGGATGCGCCGCAGCGAATGGTCGCGCCGGGCGCCGCTCTGAGTGACCTTTCACCCACGCCCAGCGGTCCCGGGCGGCGGCACAAGGCGGAAGCCATGGCGGAGGCGGCGGCTGCGGCGGGCAGGACGGGCGCGAGCCCCGGCTCTGCAGCGGTCCGGGACTCGGACCTGGACCGTGCTGGGCGGAGGCTTCGGGTTCTCTCGGCCCATCTGCTGGGCCGGCCCCAGGAGGTTCTGAGTACCAATGAGTGCAAAGCTCCGAGAGCCGCGTCGGCGGCCACGGCGGCGGCCACGGCCACTCCCGCCGCACAGGAGTCGGGCACCATCCCCAAGAAGCGGTGAGTAGCGGTCTGTGGAAGCAGCCGGCGGTAAGGGGCCAGTCCGGGCCTGTGCGGCGCGAGGGCACTGGGAAGGTGGGAAGGGAGTCGACACGGGTGGGCGGAGAGCATCCTGGTCCCTGAAAGTACGGATTCACCTTTCGAGAGATAGTGGACCAGATCCCGGAATCTCAGAAGGGGACGGGATTGGGTGGGAGATTTTGGTTACTATATGAGGGTAATAGAATTGAGGAGCTTTTATTGGGGAAGGGCCCAGAGAGATCTTTTTTTCTTGGGTTTTTGATGCCAGGAATTCATTTTCTGTCTAAAATACTTTCGGGGTTAAGGTCTTGGAATGGGTAGCAGGGGCTCTATTGCTGTCCCTCCCAGGAGACTCAAGTTTGTACTAGATGATCCTGGGTGAAGGCGTGGGGAAGGGACACATTCTGAAAAAAAGGTGTTCACTGGTTTCTGTGGGCAAGGCTTCCGCTTCCTTTAGGGGCATAGTTTTTGACTTTGAAGTAGGAAGCCCATGAGTAGTAAGAAGCAATAAATTGCATACACTAGGTAGATGAGAAGGGTGGTATAGTTAATGAATTCTGTATATCATGTAGTGGCTGGGCATATAGACCTGGGTTTGAATTTCCACTAGGCAATTTTACCTTTGGGCAAGTCTGCCTCAGAGCTTCAGTCTCCTCATAATATAAAAGACAAGGATCTGTGAATGAGGATGTTTGTAAGAGATCTAAGCTTCCGATTTGGGGTGGAGGGCTGGAATCTTAAGGTCCAATGAAAACTACTTCAAGAAACTATTTTCTGAGATGCAGCTGTATCAACATGGACATTGAGAGTGAAAAAGATGTTGCTAATGCGTGTTTTCAAAGAGCCAGAGTTTGTGCTAAATCCATTATTTCTTGCACTCCTCTCCTATGAGGTAGGTTTAGTTTCTTCCCATTTTACAGAAGAAGAAATTTAAAAAGTCATAAAGAAGTGGGCTGCAGGCTTAGCAGGTATACTGTGTGACAAGTTAGAATTCAGAAGCACATGAAATTGACTTCAGAGCCAAGTTTTAAAACTAAACTGCTTCTGATGAATAATTCATGAATTCAACATATGAGAGCCCTTTTTTACATACACACCATACTAGCAATACAGAGATTTTTTTAAATGCAGTATTTACTTTTAAGAACCTAATGATTATAACTAATAAAGTTATAATGCAGTATGATAAGAAATTTAATTGATACCTGTAGCATATAGTCTCTTAATCCAATTTTGACTGTTTTTGTTAGGGCAAAAGCTTTTCTGAATAAAGGTTGTCTGAGTAATCCTGATGTTTATATTGTAAATAGCCTGCTGTTATGGTTTGGTGTCCCCCAAAAGCTCATGTGTTGAAGGCTTGGTTCAGAGGTAATGTTCAGAGGTAGGCTTTTGGGAAGTGATAAGATCATGAGGGCTCTGATTCATCCATGGATTAATACACTGATGAGTTCATAATTGGATGGACTACTGGGAGATGGTGGAAACTGGGAGATGGAGCCTGGTTGGAGGAGGTGGGTCACTGAGGGCTTGTCCTGGAAGGGTATATCTGGTCCCAGCCCTTGCCTTGTTTCTTGCTTCCTGGCTGCCATGAAGTGAACAGCTTTCCTCCAGCATGTCCTTCTACTGGGATGTTTCTGCCTTGCCAATGGAGTCAGCTGACCATAGTCTGAAACCATGAGCCAAAATAAATCTTTCCCCCTGTAAGTTAATTTTCTCAGGTATTTTGTCATCGTGGTGGAAAGAACACACTAGTTGAAGAAGGGAAAAAGTATTCTTGGTAGACAGTATTTTTACAGGTAAAGAAGTGAGAGAGATTAGGGAACTACTAGAAGTAAAATGTGGCAGCATGGGTGAGAATCACAAGCGATAAAGGCGTGAGAGATGAAACTTTTCAGAATTATACGTAGGGCAAACCATGATCAGATTTACTAGAACCAAGTGAAAGAGTGTTGAGCAGTTTGGTTTGAATTTCCACTAGGCAATTTTATCTTTGGGCAAGTCTGCCTCTCTCAGAGCTTCAGTCTCCTCATTTTTTAAAAAAATGTGCAGTGTTTCTGTGAGAATGAAAAAAAAAATAGAGTTAAAAAGATCAAGTGCTCAGTGCAATGCTTATTACATAACCCTCAACAAATAGTAGCTGCAGTTTTTACTGTGTCCAAAGACAAACCAATAAGTGTCTCTTATTCCAAAGAAGAATGTTGGAATTCTGAATGAAGGCATAATTTTTGAAAAAAAAAAAAAAAAAAAAAAAAACATTAGAAGGGACATTTTCCAGAACTTGGTTACCAAGTGGTGGAGAGGGAGAAATCAAAGATCACATCTATTTCATCCTTTGGTCACACTGATGTTATATTATTTGTGATTGTGTTTAAGACTTTCTCTTTTGTAAATGCACATATATTTATGTCTACTTACTTGTATACATCTCTGTGTGATTGTACATTCATGTGCAGGTTCATACTACTAGAACTAAGCAGGGGTCTGGCTCAGTGGTAGAGTGTTTGTGTAGCATGTACAAAGCCCTGGGTTCAATCTCTAGTACAACAAAAAGAACTAAGCAGGGAGGGCAGGTTTTCCTTATGGTTGGATTTAGTTGCCTTGGTTTAAAGCATTTAGAGAAAAAATAGTTATGTTTGTACTGGGGTAATGGATCTGTCACTATGGTTGAAGGTGACTGATTTCCTGTATGGCTTCTCCAAGGACTGAATGCATTAATAGTCTAGGTGTAGCTCTATCCCATTTATGGCATAGCTCACAGCTGGTGGGAAGCTCTGGTTTTTGGTTCAGGGTTAGGTGGTTAATGTTAAAATCTAATCCTGTACAAGTACTTTGAAGTTTAATAAAAATGCTGACTAAAGACAAAATAGAATACTAACTTGTAGAAGAAAAACCTTTATTGGATGAAACATCAAAACTCCCTCAGAGAATGATTTATTTGATAGATTATTCATAGGAAACCCAGTACTGTTTTCTGCTTTTTATTGCTTAGTTGGGCCTTGAGTTGTCAGTACCAGAACTGAGCCTAAGAGAAAGGCAAATGATGGAGCAAGAAGGAGCCAGAGTATGTATCCAGTAAAGTGTGATTGTAATCATAAAGCAGTTACTTTAGAATAATTTTGTGGTTTGTGTTGAAAATTATAATTGTTTTATCTCATGGCTGGTTAGACTTAAATTCACATGAACTTGTAGTAGTGACTTCTTGAAACTTCATGCTTTTTTAAAAAAATTGTTTTTGTACCAGGGATTGAACTCAGGGGCACTTGACCACTGAGCCACATCCTCAGCCCAATTTTGTATTTAATTTAGAGACAGGGTCTTGCTGAGTTGCTTAGCACCTCACTTTTTGCTGAGGCTAGCTTTGAATTTGCGATCCTCTTGTCTCAACAGCTGTTGGAATTACAGGTGTGTGCCACCACACCCAGTGAAACTTCATGCTTTCATTCTTCTTACAGAATAGTTATACATACATTATTAATTATGCTCAAGTAATTTAGTGAACATTTACACAGTAGTTAATTTATGACAAGTACTACCATACGTGTTAAAAAGGAGAATAAATAGTCCTCTGCCTTAAAGAATTCAGGAAGGGAGATAACATATTCCAGTAGTTTAATTAAAGCCACTGTAGATAAGGGTACTGATGCAGTACAAAGGAAAGAAAGAATGGTGGATGTACTCCATGAGGTCAGTAGAAGCTTTCTGGAGAAGGTTTTAAGATATTGGTGATAGTTTGGCAAGTTCAGTGGTGAGGAGAGATATATTCTAGGCAAAGGGAAAAATATATGTCAAAGTAAGGGGGTATGAAAGTGTATATTGCATTTAGGTAACTAGACGATTCATTGTTGGTGCACTGGGAATAAAGTGAAGAAAGAGCGCAGTGTCCGGTCATGGAGGCCTTTGGTATATAGGTGATCAGTCTATTCATTCAAGTGACCTATAGTAGTGAACAGAAACTGTGCCCTTTACAGAATTTATATTTTGTTCGGAGTGGGGACAGTAAACAGATAAGTAAAATAGTATGTCATAGGGTGATAAAAAAATGAAAGAGTGAAAGGGCTAGTTAATGGCAAATGCTTGAAGGAATGAAGCTGATTATAGATAAGATCAGATTGGGTTTAGGTTTGAGAGAAGTCACTCCAGCCACAGTATTAATAATGGGCTGGAGGTGGGCATTGTGGTGCATGCCTGTAATGCCAGGGACTTCAGGGTCTGAGGCAGGAGGATCTCAAGATTTAGGCCAGCTCCAGCAACTTAGACCCTGTCTCAGAATTTAAAAAAAAAAAAGGACTGGGGATATAGCTCAGTGGTAGTGTCAGTACTAGGGAAAAAAAAGAAGAAGTAGAAGAAGAAGAAGAAAAAAAGAATGGGTTGGTGAAGAGTAAAGATGGACATAGGGAGATAAGTTAGGGGAGGTGTTTGGAGCGCAACAGGTGAGAAATACTGAAGGATTAAAACAAGATTATAACAGTGAGTATGGGCAGGAAAGGATGGATTTGAGAGTTTCCGAAGTTAGTGCATTAGGTGATACTTTTAAAATTATGTGACTAAATTAATGCCATGGGAGTTGGACAAGTGAATAAAAATAGAAAAGGGATGAGAGTTCCTGAGAAACGTGGGCATTTAAGAGGGTCGGTCAACCAAAATGTATTGTCATATACTCCTCTGAGTTGGTTCCAACTACTTTAATTAACTAGGAACATACATTCTCATTATTTGAGGTTGCTGAGCAGATTTTTGAGGGTGACAGTTTAATTTTGGACCCTCTTTTCTTAAGTGTGTGTTACTCCATGTATAGTTTTCATTTGACCTTGTTTTTGAATGCAGTTTTAGATCCTTAAAAATTATAGTAAAGGTCAGTTACACATGTGACATTTTTATGTCTTTTTTAAAAATTTTTTTCAGTTTTTTTTTTTTTTTTTTTTTTTAGTGACTGTAATGTTACAGAAAAGAGAAGGAAAAGGAAAAAATCCCTTGTTGAC